GTCGGTGCGAAGCTGTGCCCCAGCTCTGCCGGTTGCTGCCGCCGCGAGTCGTGAGGGAGGAGGTCAGATAAACCTGAGCTCGCTGCACTTCGCTGGGGCTCTGAGCTTTGGCACGTTTTGCCGGTTTGTTTTCTCCTGTCTGCGTAGGGAGTGTGTGAGTTTCCTTCACTGGGTGTTGTGCTGACTGTTCTGGTCACTTTCCTGTCACTTTCCTCGCAGCCGCAGCATGGCAGAAGCCTCTGTGTCTCCGCTGAAGCACTTCGTGCTGGCCAAGAAGACCATCACTGCCATCTTCGACCAGCTGCTGGACTATGTCACCGAGGGGGCAGCGTTTGTGGAAGGTTAGCTTTGGCCTCAGACACCAGGGCCGTGCCCTGTTCTGTCAGTGTGTACATGTGTTAGCTGGCACTGTGCTGTTCATGTAAACAGAGCATTCAGAAATACTCATGTTCTTCTTTTGATACTTTTTTCTTTCAACTTACACAGGCATGGTTACATACATGAAAAGCTGATTAAGTCACTTGGGCTGGCAGCCTGTCCTCCTTTCCATGAGGGTGAAAGCTTAACCACTCCAGCCTTATTGCCCTGTTGAGGTTCCTTTTGCACAGAAGGAGGGACAGACAGGTTCTCCCATGGCTCAGCACGATGGTAGATTGGTGATGCAATGCCAAGGAACCTTTGGCCACACCCTCAGAAGTTGTAGGAGTGTGGACCACATGTGTCACCACATGGAGCTGGTTGCTCATCACCCCAGTGAGCTCCATGGGGAGAAGACAGACCACAAACTGGTGTATCCATGAGAGGTTCTGGCTGTTCTTTCTGGAGGAAACAGGCGTCCTAAAGACTGGGGCAAGTGAGCACAGCAGGCTGTGTTCACAGGGCTACTGAATCAGCAGTTAGATTGGTGATTGACCTGCAGTGGCTTATGTCATGATTTCACAAGTGCTTGTGGTGGAGCTATCAATTGCCAAGGGCTAATATCAGTGTCTGCAGTGAGATTTTGCTTGTTTTGGTTTACCACTGTAATTAAAACTTACACAAATCTTTGTACTGATTACCTGCACCATGTATCACAGAGCACATACTCATGTGATTGTTTTTATGTTTCTCTGTTCTGTGTGTAGCCACATACAGGAACCCAGAGCTTGAGCATGTGGCAACAGAAGATGAACTAGCCCAAATACAAGCATATAAAAGCAAGTTGGCAGTCATTGGGGAGGTGCTTTCACGGAGACACATGAAAGTGGCATTTTTTGGCAGGTAATGAACACAGTTGCCAGAACTTATTTTGATTTTGGTTTGGTTGATCTTGCAGGGCTTGGTGTCCATGTTTCTCATTTAAATGCCCTGCAATTAGTGCATCAGAGTTACTGTTTGAAATGTAATATATAAAACCGTGTTCACTGTTATCTAATTGATGCTGAGTATTTCTTTGGTGTCATCTTGCTTCATGAGTGTAGATTAATTAACTATGTCTTGTACATGTTTTTCTTTGATAAACTTTGTAAAATAATTGTTCCATCTTGATCCATGATGTGGCTTGGGAAGGTCTGAGTTTATAATCATCTTCTCCAGAATGACTTTTCTTTTTTTAACATGGTGGTTTTGTTTAGTTAATGTCTTCTTTTCCTTATTCTGAACTCTTACTGTTGAGAACTTTTGTTTGTGTTTGATCACAAGCACTGAAGAACTAAACTTTGAGCTGTTTCTGTATATAAACAACTGAAGGGAAATAGACAGAGACTGTTGCCTTGTTGGTTGTATCATTAGTCTGATAGATCTGTGTGAGGATTTTAAGGGACAACAGTAACACTGAGGTCTCTAGTCCACTTTGCTTCAGGGAAATTGAAATTTCTGTGCTTGCATTTAAACATGTGGTCACATATTGTTATGGAGGATCATGGTTTAGTTCTAAAAATTCCATAGTAATATTGGGAAAATGTACAACAGTGGGTTTGCCTTCATATTGCTAAAAGGAGTTCAGTTATTTAAAGTGAAACTAAAAAAGTTTCTGGAATAAAGAAACTAGTTTTATCTCAGCCTTGATATTTCAGTTGAATACATTAAAAGTTGAATACATTTACAAGTTGTGACGTGTGATGAAAGTTGCTTTGCAAAAGGGAGAAGTTCAGAGCAGGAAAAGGAGAATTTAACTCTCTGGCTCTTTGAATAAATTTGTAGACTGTTGTACAGTGAGCACTTAACTTTTTCTGGAAGCAGCTCAAAAGCAAGTTACAGTAGTTACAGTCTATGTAACTTCATGCTGTTGTGTAATAGTTAACCCTCAAATATTTATGGGTGAGGGGTAGAGGGTTAGTGCAAAACAGGACATTGCTGAGAACTCGAAGTTCTTGCAGAATCTCAGGCTGGTGACCAGTTCCTTTGAATCAACCCTCCCGCTCCCTTCTGGCAAGCTGTGCTGTGCTGGCCTGAAGCTCTGCCACCAGAAACAGCTTTGCACTGTGTGGGGTGATGCCCCTGAATGGAGGAGCATTCAGCTTGGGACATAGGTGTGTTTAGTGCTGCTGTGCTCAACGTGCTTTTATTTTCTGTCCCTCTAGAACAAGCAGTGGGAAAAGTTCAGTCATTAATGCAATGCTGTGGGATAAGGTACTTCCTAGTGGGATTGGCCATACAACAAACTGCTTCCTCAGTGTGGAAGGGACTGATGGAGATAAGGCTTATCTTATGACAGAAGGATCAGATGAAAAGAAGAGTGTCAAGGTACATTTCTTCAATGATTTCACACTGCTTTTCACAGGAACTGCTTCTCAAAGGTTCTGTTTTTTAACAATGATGTCAAGTCTAACAAAGCCTTGATAAAAATTCTATGATTCTATAATTAACTCATTCTTATGAAAATTATTTAGGAGGGAAGAACAAACTACTTGATCTACTCCACAGTTCTTCTTGGCTATCGCAGAGAAACAACTAACTTGTGTCTCACTGTAGCATAGCATATGTTGAGTGATTCATTTTATAAGACTGAGAGTAAGTTCTGTTACTGGTTAAGGATCTGGAATGTGCCCCTCATTTGGATTTATGGTGCTTAGCTTACTGAACTGCTTTGCTCTGAGGCAAATTCATGATGATGCTCAGTGTTACACACTCTAGCCCTGTACAGGACACCACTTTGTGTCTCCAAAGAAACTGTTGTCTGAGTTTCAAGGCACAACTTGTTCTTTAGACACTGCTGACTCAAAGAGCTTAAAAAATTATAAATGCAACTATTCACCAGAAGGAAGTATGAGCTCTGTTACCCTGTTCAGGATAGATCCTGTCCAGGTTTGCTTGACAACCCAATTAGTCTGGTTTACAGGCTTGTTGGTGGTGCATATTCATGTTTGTCTTCTCTTTATGCTGTTTATAGACAGTCAATCAGCTTGCTCATGCACTTCACATGGATAAGGATTTGAAAGCTGGCTGCCTTGTCCATGTCTTTTGGCCCAAGTCAAAGTGTGCCCTGCTGAGAGATGATTTGGTTTTAGTTGACAGGTATGTTTTTGTTTTGATAAATGTATTCTTAAATATATGATCCATTAGAATGTTTAGGAAAGGGACTGGGTGAGGTTGCAGAATTATTGAAAAGCTTTTTTTTTTTTTTTTGTTGTTTGAAAGTACAGAGTTTGTTCTTTTGTATATACTGCTGTCTGTCATCACCCCCTGATTTTGGCCTTGTAACAGTTGGAACAGACAAATGTCTTGTGACTGAGCTGAATAAGGGACTAGCTTTTGGCTGAGGATACTTTACCTTTAAAACAAACAGTATGGAAGTCTGAATAGGGTTGTTGGAGCAACAACCTTTTGCCCATTTCCTCTCTTTAAATGCTTCAGACTGATCATGTGAAGTATAAGCAATCTGGACTTCATTATTAAAAGCTTCTGATAAGAGTTGCAGTGCCTACACATCAAAGTAGTGGGTGACCTTAAAATATAATTGTCACTGTGGTCTGGCATTTCCTACAGTTGGTGTGTTTAAAAAGCCCTGAAAGCTGTTGCTTTGTCTATGTCAAATTATTCCTGGTATAGCCTGGTAATAGCTTTTAAAACTTTTAGGTGATCTCTACCTAATGTGTAAATCGATCTAGATTGAATTTGAGAGTAATTTGCTCAAGTGTGAGTGAATTTTTAAGTGTTATTTTATATATATATATATATATAT